TTCTTTAATAGGTAACTGTAGAGGAGTTCTGATCGTTGGTTGCTGTATTTTTCACAGTGAAAGGCAAAATGGATTGCGTCACCGATGTCACTATTGTTACAATCACATAAATTGTTGTCCTTTATTCTGAATCTGTGTAAGTAAGCAGGGAAGTTACCGTGGCCTAAGATTACCTGTGTGGTAAACTTGTTTGGTTTGTAGTAGCTGGCCTTTTTTCTGATGTTCACACTTGGAATAAACTGAAAGCAGTTTCTACCTGTTTCAGCTGTCTCCCATTCCCGTTGCCAGATGTTGTTGATTAACGAAAGAAGGTATTTATTCAGGGTGGTGAGAGAAACGTCGTTGTATGATGGATTAATGTCACTATTAGCACCAAGTCTAGCCAGTTTATCGGCTCTGTCGTTTCCGTCATTACCACTGTGTCCTTTGACCCATGCAAAAGTTAATTGTCGTTTAGAGCCGAGAAGCTTGGCTGCCTCTTGGACTTTTCTTGATAAGATCGTGATCCGATTCCTGTTAATTAATCTATGAAGAGAAGCTCTGCTGTCCGTCATTATGTAAATATTTCCTTTAAAATTGTCAATGTTATTTTCTACATGGTTAATTGCTTTGAGAATTGCATATAACTCAGCTTGGGAGTTAGTACAGAGGGATCCTAGTTTATAATAGCACTGACGTACAGTTCTGTCTTTGGAGTTTTTAATTATAAAACCTGCACCTGTCCCTTTATCACTCCTGGATCCGTCAGTGTAAATTTTCCAAGTTGTTTTGATTTCTGTTTCAGATTTTTCCTCCCAGTGTATGCAAAAGTTTGGTTCTTCTGCCGGATGTGTTGTACATTCATTTTTCTTTAGGTTTCTATCAATTCCGTAATTTTTGTTATTTAAGTCAATGATCGTATTGTTCTTTTTTAACTCCGTGTATATTTCGTCGTTTTCGGGAAAGTAATGTTCGATTTGTTGGTTCATCGTTGTGAGGTGCCATTTCCAAGTTAGGTATTTGGCCCTTAGGTGTATCGGAAGGAGGTCTCCCATAATCTGGAGAGCACTAGTAGGTGCGGTGTTGTACGCCTTGTTAATTTTTATAGCAAATTTTCTTTGAATTGATGTAATCTTTTTCTTCATGTGAATATTTTCGAGTGCTTCCTTCCACACTTGAACCGCGTAAAGAATAGCTGGTTCTATTGCCGCTTCGTAAATGAATTTTGTATTTGTGAAGTTCAGACCCCACGTCTTTGCCGTGATCCAGTTAAGCATGTTCGCTTTCTGTTCCATGCTTTTGCAAATACTGCGAATATGATTGTGCCAATTTAATTTGTCATCGAAAAGAATGCCTAAGTAGTTGAGTTCCTGTTCCATTTTAATCTTTTTATTATTTATGAAAATCCTTGGCGGTCTTTTCAGCCTGTTACGCTTATTACGCCTCGTGCAGACCATACCGATTGTTTTCTCGTTGTTGATTGGAAGTTTGTTATCTTTGCTCCAAGTATAAATTTTTTCCAGTTGTTTATTCGCTATGTCTTCCAGTTTGTCTACATTTTGATGTGTTACCATCAATATGAGATCATCCGCAAAAGCCTGTATTATGGAGTTTTCGCCCCTTGACATAAGGTTAAGTAGGTCGTCACAGACTAAGTTCCATAACCCAGGTCCGCTTCGTGAACCCTGGGGGCATCCACGATTAGTGGGTCTGTTGATGGTGAAGGTGTTTGCATTATATACGATTGACCTGTTGTTCAGGTAGTCTTTGACTAGGTAAAAGATGTTGGCGGGGCAATTGGTTTGACGTAGACGGTTTAAAATGCTCGGCCACCATAGGTGGTCGAAAGCTTTATGAAAGTCAATTTTAACCAGCATTGTATGTTTATTCTCTTTCCATGCGTCGTGTATTATTTTTTTTGTTCTTAATGCTGCATCAACCGTCGATTTACCTGGCCTGAAGCCAAACTGGTTTTCATTTAGTTGACTGGTACTGGAGAGATGCCAATTTATACGCTCCATCATAAGACCGTCCAGTAGTTTACCCATTGTGGGCAGTAAGCTAATGGGTCTGTAGTTTTCTGGCTTGCTTGGATTGTCGGTCTTAGGAATTAATTTAATATCAGCGGTCTTCCATATTTTTGGGAAAAAACCTGTGGTCAGGCATTTGTTCAGAATGTGCACGAAGGCGATGGGGATCTCCTTAAAAGCCTCTTTTAACATTTCTACTGTGATGCCGTCGATGCCGGGCGATTTCCTGTTTGCCATAGTATTGATTGCCCTCTCGACTTCTCGAAAGGTAAACATTTTGTCGTTCTTACTATTGTAGGGTTGTGATATATTCCTTCTTATGTCCTGTTGTTTCGTAGTGTCACAGTCTTGATTATCTTCTGGAAAGTGGTAATTCAATATATGTTTGATATTTCCTTCGAGGTCAGTGTTTATTTCAGCGTCACCATCCGAGCCGATGACGTCTGGAGGGTAGATTTTTTTTTGTTTTTTCATAATCATGCTGTAGGGAGTGTCCCATGGGCCATTCTTGTTTGATTCGGTGCAGAAAACTTTCCAAGAGTTTGTTCGGGTTTTATTGATTAACTTCTTATACTGTTTTAGGGCGTCTTTATATTTGATTTTATAATTCTTTTCATCGTCGGTATTTTTGGCTCTAGTGTATTTTTTCCTCATTCTGTTGACTTCTCTTCTTTTGCGGTTCAGGGAATCATCCCACCATTTAGTTTTTCTTGGAGGTAGTTGTTTGTAACGAAGGGCCTTTGTACCTGCCTTTTTCAGTGCCTCAGTGAAGAACTGAGCATAACTGTCCATATCAGCGTGGGTTTTAATGTTCGGAAAATCATAGTTTTGCCAGCACCGAGCAAATTCTTGTCTAAATAGTGTCCAGTTTGTTTGTTTTGTCTGAAAAGAATGCTCCTTTGCCCTTATTGTTGTATTAGGTTGATTGATTTGAGTGAGGATGAAGCGGTGATCACTAGCAGACGGAATGAGGAGTGTTTCGCAATTATCGATTTCATGAGAAAGGTTGTCCGTGACAAGGCATACATCCGTCCATCCTTTAGCGAATGGGGTGTAAAATGTCGGATGCGTCGTCATATTGGTTGAAATTAAGTTGAACTCACCCATCATCTCAGTGATAAGCCTTCCCCTCCTGTCCTCTTTCTCATGAAACCAAACTGGCGATTTGCCGTTTAAATCACCCATGATCATGAGCCTACGGTTCCTAATTTTTCTAATTATGTTGGAAAGTTCTTCGACGCATTCTTCGTCGTCGTCTTCGGGTGAGAAGTAAGCACTTATGATTAAGATGGGTTCTGTGAGCTGGAGGATGATAGTAGTTAACCTGTCCGTGCACAGTTGTGGAATTCTTGCAATATCGATATGAGGATTGCAGCAAATTATGCCGCTCTTGGGCCTAGTTTTGTTGGTGCCAGATATCACCTTCCACTTGCCGAACCTCACAATATTGTTGTTTATGTGGTAAGGCTCTTGAATGCATATTAGGTCGATGTTAGTTTCATTAGCCGTTTGAACCAAGTTAGAGCATGCCGCCTTGCTCCGCTGCGTATTGATTTGGAGTATATTAAAGAAGTGGTTATTGCTGTTTAGATGCTGAGTTGAGTTATGTCTCTGAGTATTGGATTGTAAGTTGTTATAATCCATAATCGGTTCTCTTTATAGCCGCTTCTTTTAATCTTTTAGTGATTGGGCACATAGGGTGAAGTGCTCCGTGGTTTGTCGGCTGTTTCTTACTGTTTGGTGCATCTTTGTTATTTCTGTGACAGTTAACACAGCAAGGCGGCTTTTTGAGTCTGTCACACTCTGAATATTTGTGGTTCTCACCACAGTGCGAGCAGTGTTGTTCCTGGTCACAATCTTTGGCTATATGTCCGGTGCCACAGCATCGGTAGCACCTTGTTATAGGGATGTAATCATCCACTTTTATGGTGGCCCAATTTATCGAAATATGCTTCTCTTTAATGAAGGTGTTGCGTATTTGTGGTGCCACTGATAAGACAACATGCCTACAGTTTTCTGTCCGTCTCCCCCTATTCAGTATTGTACTGATCGTACACTGGTTTCTAAAAGTTTCTTCTTTTAAATCTCCCCATATGTCGTTTTGTTTATATATATATGTAGGTATGTCGTCTTCTTGGATGGATTGAGGTACGTTCAATAAAATCACTCTCGGTTTTTTCCCTTCTGATCGTTTACAATTAATCTTATCATCAAGTTCTTTAATTTCTTTGATTGCTTTTTCGAGCGATATGCTCTGGTCTCTGTCCCCTACTCTAATGCAGACACCATTGTCTTTTACTTTCCTGACCGTTTTGATTTTAATCTTCAGTTTGTGCGGTTCGATTTTACTTTTCAATACCTCTGTCACTTTGTCCATGTTAATTTGTTCCTCTTCTCCAGTCTGATCTTTGGGGTAAATAAGCACTGCGTGTGAGCCTCCAGTTCCTTCTTGATTCAATTTTTGATCTAAGGATTTCTGAATGTTTCTAGTTGTGTTACTTGGTTTGATGGTTCTTTTTAATATGTCGCTGTAAGTAGTATTCTGAGTAGTTTGTAGTGGTGCTTGTTGAGATTTGTTGTTTTCTACCCTTGCCATTTGCCTTCTAGTTTCCTTGACTATGGCGAACATCTCGTGTAGATAACCAAACATGTTTGCCACGCATTCCCTTATCTTACATCGCTCTTTTTGTTTCACATTGGTGTTGGTGTGCTCAGGGCACAATTCCATCACTGTGCTGAGCATATCTTTTGCCTCACTTAATAATGTTGTTTCTATTTCCTCTGTGGTTTGTTCCATTTCTTGGTCCGTAGTTTGGTCCTCCTCCTCGTCCATGTACACAATTGGGGTTCGTGTGCCNCTTTGTTATCTTTACTACAGAATTCCCTCCATGCCTGTGTTCTGGCGTTGTTTATATTCTTCTTGTAGAGGTTGAGATTATTGTAGTATTCCTTTCGCAGTTCTTCCTTTGTATCTGGATTACTCGTTTTAACCTAGTGCCTTGTAAGCCTACGGATTTTGCGCTTTTCTCTTTCCAAGTCACTGTTCCACCAATGTGTACGTTGCTTGTCAACTTTATTGGTGGTTGATGATAGATTTATATCCGAATTTAAGGAAGTGGTCAGGTGGTTGACGTAGTGGTCGATTTCTCTGGCCGTGTTCAGGGGACAGAACGTGTATGACCTCCAGTAGGCGGCAAAAGTGGTTTTAAATAGCTCCCAGTTGGTTTTTCTGTTATAGATGTTGTTTTTTGTGCTAATCGTTTGGCTGGTCCTTTCGATCTTTGTTAGGATGTACCTATGATCGCTAGCCAAGGTGGTAGTTAAGGTTTCACACGTCTCAATTAAGCTGCCTAACCTCGTGGGCGCCAGGCAAACATCTGTCCATCCTCTAGCCCTGCTTGTCTCGAACGTGGGGATGTCCGAGGTGTTTAGCGAGATGCCATCGATTTTGTCTAGTATGTCTTGGATCAGTCTTCCGCGGTTGTCTTCCTCCTCGTTGTACCACAGGGCCAACTTTGCGTTGATGTCGCCCACTATTATGTATTTTGTGTCACCAAGCTTGTTCAGGACATTTTGTAGCTCTCCGATGCAATCGTCATCGTCGTCCTGTGGTGAGAAGTAGGCATTGATTATATGATCGATGGGCTCGTTATGGACAGCAGCTGTAGTAATACGATAGGAGCTAAGTTCTGGAATTAGGGCTATGTTTAAGTTGTTATTTCTTACTATAATGCCGCATTTTGGGGTTGCTATAGACATTGTTGTAAAGGGTGAGAGGGCTGTCTGTTTTTTGCCACAGACTTAGCCCTATGGAAAAGGAAGAGGGAGAAAAAGCATGAGATGTGAAGTATGAAAAACAGAAAGATAGGAAAGTTGTGAAAGAAGGCATGGGACCAGAGAGCGCCTGCATCGGGACTTTATTAACAAAACATAATACAATACAATAATACAATACACAATGAGAAACAAATAAACACAAAAGGTTACAAAAAATGTTATGTACAGAATGCAGACCATCTGGTCGCAGAATCAGAATAGGAATAATACAATCAATTGCTACAATACACAGAAATCTTGCATATGATTAATACAGCACCGGATGTAGCAATCCCACTCGCCTTGAGTGGGAAGGAGTAATGAAGGCGACAATCATAAAGTTTCAGTCAGATGGTCAATGTAGTCAGCAAGGAATGAAGAATCTCATCATGAGTATAAGAGATGATGATCACCATGCTCTTTATTTAAGAGCTGTCGGGTGCATCTGTCCAAATATGGGAGTTATTCAAAATCCCTGTTCTTTGTAGAAATTTTTTCACATCATTCCATAATTCCTTATCTTTAAAAAGATGCGATGGATTTGGGGGCCATCCAATATTGTTCAATAGACAATTGTGTATTAATTCAAGCCTGAATTGATCATAAATTTTGCAATGAAAAAGATAGTGGATAGCGTCGCCAACCTCATCGCATGTGCACTTGTTAGAGCTCTTTTTGCCAATTCTATGAAGAAAAGCAGGAAAATTCCTGTGTCCAGTTATTAATTGTGTAGTATCTTTATCAGGAGAGTAATGTTTATTTCTTTGTCTGTCTTGGATTTTAGGTATAAATTTGAAGCAATTCCTGCCTGTGTCTGAATTCTGCCATTCTTCTGCCAGATTTTATTGGCATAGTTCATCAGTTGTTTTTTGACTATCGTTAAGGGAATTTCGTCGAACTGGTAGAAATCAGATCTCCTAGCCCCTAGCTTAGCCATCTTGTCAGCTATTTCATTCCCATCAATTCCTGTATGTGAGGGGAGCCAGCCTATATAAATTGTTCTTTTGCTGCCTAAGTTTTGAGCCGATGATATAGTACATCCGGCTAGTCGAGTAAGATTATTACAGTTATTCAAAAGATGTAATATCATTCTGCTATCTGTGAGTATTTTAATGGCTCCTTTGAAGTTATCAATATTGTTATTAACAAATCGTATAGCCGTATACATAGCCCAGAGTTCAGCATCAGAGTTTGTGCAATAAGGGGCCAGATGTTGATAGTTTTGGTAAACAGTTCTATTATTTGTCTTCCTGATGGTGAAACCTGATCCTGTTCCTTCCCTTCCCTTGGATCCATCTGTATAAATGGCATAATTTGTTTTAATTTCAATCGATTCTTGTGGATCCCAAAGAATGGTATAGTTATTTCCTTCAGCTGGATGTGTTTGTAATTTTTGTTTATTAAGTTTTCTATTTATCTCTTTATTCTGTTGTTCTATGTTTGTGAAAATTTTCCTTTTAATACTGTCAAGAATCACTTTATTATCATTGTTGGAAGTCAAATACCAGTGCCATGTGCTTATTTTAGCTTGTATATGGAGAGGGCATGAATTTGCCATAACTTGGAGGGCATTAGAAGGTGATGTGCTATAAGGCTTTACCATTTTTATTGTAAATTTTTTCTGCAGTGTTAAGATTTTGCTTTTCATATGAATGTTGTTCAAAGCCTCGCTCCACACAGGGGCTGCATATAAAATGGCAGGCTCAGATGCCATTTTATATAGGAGTCTGCAATTCCTATAATTCAGTCCCCAGTTCTTTGCTGAAATCCAATTTAACAGATTTGCTTTCCTCTCCATGTTTTTACACATTTCCCTTATATGACTATGCCAATTTAGTTTTTCGTCAAATATAACCCTAGGTATTTTAGTTGTTGCTCCATTTTTATTTTGTGATTATTAATATAAATACATGGTGGCCGCTGGATTCTGTTCCTCTTGTTTTTCCTTGTACAAAGCATTGCTATACATTTATCATTGTTTATAGGCAGCTTATTTCTTTTACTCCAGTTATTTATATCTTTAAGATATTTATTTGTGATGTTGGTAAGCTTATCTATGTTTTGGTGTGAAATCAAAAGGAGCAAGTCATCGGCAAATGCCTGTATATGAACATTTTCAGTGTCTTGTATTGAGTTTAGTAAGTCATCAAATACCAGGTTCCACAACCCAGGGCCACTTCGTGAGCCCTGGGGGCACCCTCTATTAGTTTTTCTTTCAATTTTTATGTTATTGCTCATATATATTATTTCCCTTCCATGGAGGTAGCTCTTTATCAAGTTATAGAAATTTTTTGGACATTTCACCTTTTTTAGTTGATCCAATACACTTGGCCACCACAAGTGGTCAAAAGCCTTACAAAAATCAATGCTTACCAAGATGGTATGGTAGTTCTTTTCCCAAGCTTTGTATATTATTTCTTTTATTTTTAACATGGCATCAATTGTGGAGCGCCCTGGTTTGAATCCATATTGTTTTTCATTTTGCTGGTTGGTTTTATATAAATGCCAGTTTATTCTATTAATAATTAGCCCATCCAGAAGTTTTCCCAATGTGGGAAGCAAGCTGATTGGTTGATAATTGTTTGGCGCACTCGGATTTTCAGTTTTGGGTATGAGTTTTATGTTCGCTACTTTCCATTTTGTAGGAAAGTAACCAGAAGTAAGGCAGGTGTTTAGTAAATGTAAGTAAGCAGTAGGTAGTTCTCTAAAGCTTTCTTTTAACATTTCGGCAGTGATGCCGTCCATTCCAGGCGATTTTTTATTTGCCATTGTTTTAATAGCCTGTTGGATTTCTCTAGTCGTAAAAAGTTTATCATCTGTTGTATTTATTTCAACTACAATATCTTCTCTAAGCTGTTTTTGCTCCTCCGTATCATCATCTTGTAAGTCCTCAGGAAAATGAAATTTTAATATATTTTTAATATTCTCTTTGATATCAAATTTGTCATTCGTACCATTGGTGTTTGCTGTCATGATATCAGGTATTGTTGCTCTCTTTCGTCTTTTAATTACCATGTAATAGGGAATTTCCCATGGTCCTTTGCTATTTGTCTCCGAACAGAATTGCCTCCATGAATCTCTTCTAGTTTTATTAATTAATTTTTTGTACTGTTTTAATGCTTGTTTGAATTCCTTCTTTATTTGTTCTTTGAGGGTTCCATTATTAGTTTTTAAAAATTTTTTCCTTAGTTTATTTACCCTTTGTTTATGCTTAGTAAGTGAATCATTCCACCACTTCGTACTCTTCGGCGATGTTCCTTTTATTTTTAATGCTTTCTTGCCTGCTTCACTGAGGGTCTGCACAAAGAATTCCGCATATTGATCCATTCCTGCTTGAGTTGTCACCTGTGGAAATTCATAGGTCCTCCATAGTCTTGAAAATTCCTCTCTGAACAAAGTCCAGTTAGTTTGTTTCCTCTGGAAGGATGGAATTTGGTATTTAGATTTTTCAATGTTGGACACTTGGGTTAAAATATATCGATGATCACTTAAAGTTGTAGATAGTTGGGTTTCACAATTTTCGATGCAATGAGAGTGATTTGCTGTCACCAAGCAAACATCTGTCCATCCGACAGCAAATGGTGTGAAGAAGGTCGGGAGTGTTGACATATTTATTGAGATCAAATCATATTCGTCCATAATGTCTGCAATCATTCTACCTCTCTTGTCCCATTTATTATGATACCAAATTGGTGATTTACCATTTAAATCACCTGTCAATATTATTCTGTGATTATTAACAATCTGAAGAATTTCTTTAAGTTCATTCAGACAATCTTCATCCTGATCTTCCGGGGAGAAGTAAGCACTGATAATAATTATGGGGTTATTCTGATGTAAAATTGCCGTAGTTATTCTATCGGTAGATAAATGTGGGATCATAGCTAAGTCGAGTTCTTGATTACATTGTATGATTCCACTTTTTGGAGTTTTATTCTTTACACCTGTTAATATTTTCCATGTTCCAAATCTTACAATTGTGTCTTGAATGGTATAGGGTTCTTGAATACAAATTATGTCTATATTCTTATCCATAGCTGTTTTAATTAATTTCGAGCAGGCTGCTTTGCTACGTTGAGTATTTATCTGTAGTAGTTTTAAGTAGTTACTATTCTGGGTAGAAGAATTAATTTGTTCCTGACCATTATTGTTACTTGATACATTTCTATTGTTGTTGTTAGAAGCCATAATCAGTTTTGCTAATTATTTGCTCTTTTATTTTTTGCAGTGTCGGACAGATATTACTCATGGCGTTGTGGTTTGTATGCCTTCTTTTATGTTCTGGTAATCCCTGGTTATATCTTCTGCAATTGATGCATGATGGGGGAGTATTTTTCTTGTCACATTCTTTAAATTTGTGTTGATGTGCACAATGGCTGCAGCTTTGGTTTTCTTTACAATCCTTTGCTAGATGTGAGTAGCCACAACACTTATAACACCTTGTTATAGCCAAAAAGTCATCCACGTACACATTTGTCCAATCCATTGCCAGATATCTAGCAGATATCAAAATGTTCCTGATTTTTGGTGATACTGTCAATACTACATGTCGGCAGAATTCTCTTGTGTTATCTCTTCTAAGCGTTGTGCTAATTTTAACTGATTGTTTTATTTCCTCCGTTTCCATATCCCCCCATATTGAGTTTTGTCTTATCATGACTTGCACTACTTCTTCGTCCTTTATAGCATCTGGTACATTTATCAAAATCACCCGAGGTTTTTTCCCCTCAGATGTTTTACATTGTATCTTGTTTTCCATGTCAGGAAGTGCTTCTATCGCTTCCTTTAATTTTTTTCCATCATTTTCGCTACCCACTCTTATACAAATACCCTCGGCCCTAATTTTCCTGATATTTTTCACTTTTATTTGTAATTGCTGTGGTTTTATTTGTTCTTTAATATTTCTTGTTATTTCTTCCATGTCTGGTGTTTTTCCCTCTGAA